CTATAATAATAATAATAATAATAATAATAATAATAATAATAATAATAATAATAATAATAATAATAATAATAATAATAATAATAATAATAATAATAATAATAATAATAATAATAATAATAATAATAATAATAATAATAATAATAATAATAATAATAATAATAATAATAATAATAATAATAATAATAATAATAATAATAATAATAATAATAATAATAATAATAATAATAATAATAATAATAATAATAATAATAATAATAATAATAATAATAATAATAATAATAATAATAATAATAATAATAATAATTTCCTTTCGCCCGCTATTTGGAGTTCACCGATAATTATTCTCATCAATTATTTACACCCAAAAAAAAATTATCATAATCATCAACAAATAGTAACATAGCAAGAAAAAAAGTAATAACATAGCATAATTACAGACAAAATTAACTGTTTTTCAAAATGTTTCCCATGCTAACAACGAAAAAGTAATATATATATATATATAATTTAAGTAATAATACTAATCGGAACAATCAAAATTAATAATAATAATAATAATAATAATAATAATAATAATAATAATAATAATAATGATAATAATAATGATAATAATAATGATAATAATAATGATAATAATAATGATAATAATAATGTAATAATAATAATAATAATAATAAAATAATAATAATAATAATAATAATAATAATAAATAACAATAATAGTAATAATAATAAACAATAATAATAATGCCAACAAGAAAGGAAAAGCAAAAAAAAAAAAAAAAACAATATGAATGAGTCTTAATCAATGAATACTTGTCACCTGCTTACTTTTTCACGTTTGAAACTTATTTCACTACCAAATTAATGTATGCTATCCAGTGCTATTTAAATAAAAACAATGATGACAATAAAAGGCAATTAATATAACCAATTATTATTTCCTGATTGTTTGTTAATTTTTTTTCATTCAATATTTAATTGCTGCTCAATCAAATCATAAATGAAATGGAATATTTGATTGGAAAAAGAGAGTGCATTAAGGAAATAAACATATTTATGTAAATCTATCAGCGCTGATAGATCTGATGGTCCAATCCGTCGTTCATACATTCCTGACATTGATAAATCCAACGGTTCTTTTTGTGGCTCCTCAAATTATACGAAACTATCAAGTTCTAACTGCGTTAAAATTTAAACTTTAGAAATATTGCAGCGTTATCCTCTATTC